GATAATTTCTATAACTTTTTAATGTATGGCTTTAAAAACTCCTCAAAACCGGTGCACTATATTTTATTATAGTTGTCATAGGAACTTTGTATACAATAATCGCATCCAAACTGATTGATTCAAGATGTGTATACCTCTTCCTACATTCTTATGGATAGATTTGGGTGGGGTATTTCAATTCTCAATTTTGTGCGATCGATTCTATCCAAGTGGATTGCACATATTACATGAAAAGAACTCTCGGTATGGAAGTGTGTACATTTTTAAAAAGTTGTAATACTGTTTAACATATCAGATCCCATGGATCATTAGACTTATGTTTCTCAGATAAAGAAGTATATAAACATGTTTTTCCTTAAAAATAAAAGTACTATGAGAAAAACGAACAAATTAAACGTAATTCTCAATTTGCTGTACTAATGATAATGATAATGATTCGAAAAATATGACACATAACTTTAAAATGGCTTAAACTTTAAGTTCTGTGAATTTGATAAATAACAATAAAAGTTCTTAGTTTTTCCATGAATTTGTTTAATTCTTGTGTTAATTTTAAGATTATTTTAATAGTTTATATGGTCAGTTATAACCGTTAGATTATTCTCTTTTAGAGTTGATGGATTGATTTCATCGTGGTATGGATATCACCATATCCTAGGGGCCTACCGATAAATTGTAATTTGTAATAATTATGCATTGAAAAATATGTGTTCTTCTGTTCCCATATAGAATGTATATTTAACCGACTTCAAAAAAGGAGGAGATTATCAATTCGTCTGTATTTTTATTTATATTAGTTACCTCAGCACATTCAACTGGGTGAACCGATTCCGATGATTCTTCTTCCATTTGAAAGCTGGTGCTTCCAGAATGGTCCAGTTCTGACAATGGCATCCATGAGAAAACTACCTTAAACATACCTCAATTAGTCCAAATAGCTGAAAATTCTATTGCTACAAAGGATGCTGTTATTTCAGAATCGCACTCGAAACATTAAGTCACTTCAAATGGCAAAATAAAATAATGCCCGCACCCTGTCGGATTCGTTATTAGATATTTTTGTCATTTTTATAGGCTTTTTTTATTTATTAAGTTTTATTTAGTTTCTCTATTGTATAGATTTAGATTTAGATAAATAAATATAAAAAAATAGCAAAATATAAATAACATAAAAATATATAAAAAACATTAAAAAAATACATTCATTGCACTAAATCTGATGTCGGTTTTTTGTTTGTTAAAATGTAACTTATTTTCTTGAATATACAAAAAGTTATATAATTATTATTATTTTTTTTATTGTCAAGCCTAGTGGTATGTCAGAGTTTTGGATGAGTTGAAAACTCCCCATTGCGTGTTTTTGCTCTTAGCCCTCTTTTTCGCAGTCGCCCTTCTTGGCACAACAGGCCTGGTGTTGTTCTTGGTACAAATTGTATGTTTACATTAAATGTATAAATTATGCAGCAGTTTATTTTTGTGTCATAAATTTACTTTGATTTTGTGTGCTGAGTGAAGTGGCTCTCTCCCTCTCTCTCTCTCGCTCTCTCTTTCGGTCGTTTGGTGGGCCGACGCGTCGGCATAAAATATGTCAAGTCAGACACTCAGAAGCTGACAAGGTTAATGTCTCAATCGAACACAAATCCGCACTCACACACTCCCGAAACATATCACAATGCGCGCGTGTGTGTGTGTGTGTTTTTTTTTTTTATCAATTTAATTTTGTATGCATTTGAATTGTAGTTGATATTGTTGCTGTTGCTGTTGTTGTTGTTGTTGTCATGCCAACGATTTTCTACGATTTTCATGGTTGCCCATTTATCCCATAATGATTATGTCTGTTTTGGGTCATTTGCGTTTGGCGCGTTCGCATTCGCACTCCTCATTCGCATTCTCATTCGCATTCGTATTTGTATTTGTATTCGTGTTCACCGACGCGTCGGGGGTTGGCAGCGACAGCGGCCCTTAACGGCAGTTACTATTTTGGATTTTTATTTCTATTTTTCTTCGGCTAACCACCGAAACCCACCCTGCTGCCGCTGACGGGAAAAGCAAAAGATGGCCCATGTTGACAGTTATGTGTTGATGACAATGTCGACGCTGCCCCTGTGCTGAGTACCTACCTATGGGCAGCATCGTGCCCCTGACACTCCAGCTCTCCGCCACGCTTGTCATTTCCAAGGCTGAGGTGTCTACTTAGTCGTGTTAGGCGTCGGCAAAACCGACTGAGTCCATGTTGCCCCTGATAACGGCGACAAGGCAAGTGGTTCGGAGTGGCACATTGGGAATTTTCATATGAAAATCTTCGCGTGCATTCCAATTACTATAATGCTGATTTATAGGCATACGTTTTTCAAATCGATCAAAGCCATACCCGCCTACTAATGCAGCCACTCAATGCCTTTTGACGACAAAATGAAAGATTGCAAAACGATTAGCTTTCATTTCGACATTTCGATCATTTCCAGGCGTTGTAGACACTACTAACTAATTAATTATTAACCCAAATACTTAACTCAATCGAAACCACTCAATTCCTTTTGATGACAAAATGAAAAATTGGACAACGATTAGCTTTCATTTCGACATTTCGATTAACCCAAATACTTAACTCAATCGAAGGCAAGGACCAGTTTTCCTTACTCTTCTTCTGACATAACCTATTTAGCTCTTCATTTGAATTAAGTTTTCTCCTTTTCTTGCCATTCTTTTTAGTTTGTTAGATCTATAATGTCTCTGACAATATTTGGCTCTAATGCGGGGCAAAGCTGGCATCCTGTCGGCTTTTTGGTGCTTTCTTATCTTTTAAGTGAAAATTATAACGTATTTTTAATTAATACTATATATGTATTTTATTGCAATCTTTATCGACAGCTCATATTTGTTGGTGTAATTCTAACAACATGAAATAGAAAATATTAAAAATGTAAAATAGGGTATTTAGAGGGAAGTTATTCGGAGAAATGTTGGATGGTATTAAAGGTTACAAAACAGTGATGTAAATTTCTTGTCTCTCAATTCATTATTTAAGTATTTTAATTTTAATTTGTTTTCTTCTATCTTTTATTGCTGTATCTTTTCATCTACACTTCTGTTTTGATAGGTTTAATAACGTATCTGACTACTTTCTGCTGTGAATCGGGGCATAGCTGGCCGTTTGGCAAATAAAATTCCCCCACCGTGTCGGAGTCGTTATTAGATATTTTTGTCATATTTATAGGCTTTTTTATTTCTTTAGTTTTACTTATTTTCAGTTCTCTATTGTATTGTACATCGACTGCACTGTTTGTCGATGGAAATAAATAAATAAATAAATATATAAATATGTGGTAAGCCCATGGTTCAAATTCAAAAGTTTGGAAAAAAATTATTATTTGTCTAAAAAAAGGCTTTGTGAGGTATTTCTTGACCATTTGTATAGCCATGTGTTAAAGACGTTTCATTATTTTTTAGTCTAGAATACTTGAGCTCTTCAGATGGATTTTTTCTCCAAACTATTAGTTGATGGAACTGATTCAGCCATATTTGGCGATACATTTTCTCAATATCTGTTCCAGAGAAGAAACAAAAGCAATGATTAAAGCTACGTTTAAAATACTTGCAGTCATAAATTTTGGAAGTGTATAAACAATTTACAGCACAATTAGTTAAACAAATAAATAAATAAAAACAAATAAAATCGACCAATCCTTCCGAATTGCATTAAATATCTAGAAGAGCCGAAACATCTTATCGCCAGATTTGATCCACTTCTGACAATATATATACAGGAGCAGCAGTTCAGATAGAGAGGGCTGTACAGGTGTCTTAAATGCTAAGGAACATAGCTTACATTATTCTCATAAAAATTACCAACGTACTCGAACTATATTCCCTTTATAATACAACTCCACATCATTGATGGCAGACACTATAATTGATAAAAGGGCAAACTTTCATTTATAACTAAACATTAAAGTTCTTGGCTCATCTGATCAGAGAAAGAAAGGAACCGCTTAACACTACTTAGGTAAATAAGGATGTACGTGAATATGGGCTATATCCTGTGAAAAATCAGTTTTGCAAGAAACAAGAAACCAAGAAATAGAGGTATACTAACATTCAAAACGTTGCGACCAATAGGAACATATCTAATACACCTATCCAATATATATGTATATATGCAGACTGCAAGCTGGAGAGTCTACATTTATGAAAAACAAAAAATCAAAAGCGCTTGGATAGTCTTTGTAAACCAAATTCTTGTATGCATTTCTTCCCAAAATAAACTCATTAATATAATACTTAAGTAAACCTGATTGATTTTTGAATGGGGCTTTAGCCTAGATCTCTAGATGTTTTATGTTTTTACGAACAAGCAATACAATTTTTGATCTGCTGAAAAATTTGTTAAAGGAAACCGATTTCGGTACAATTTGAAACAAAAGAAAGATTAGAGAATTAAATAAAGTGTACAAAGTTTCCATTTAGCTTTGGAATTGGGGGCACTATTGATGAAATTCTGTAGAGGGGGAGACGGGAAAGAATCCAAAAAGTCAAATAAACTAGAGTTGCCTGATGATAAGAAGAGTCTGCGTACAAAGTTTGGTCAATGTGGGCTCAACAGTTTCCGAAAACAGGCGTTCATCCAGACAGACGAACAAGCGAACTTGGCTATATGGATGCGTCTTATCATGCTGATTAGGAATGGTGATGTTTCCATAATCCTAATTACCCTTTCTACCCTTTGGGTGCAGGGTATAAGCATCTTGGAACCCAGTTGTATACATGTATTTCGAAAGCGAATGGTTACAATGGATGATCAATGCTTTCTAGTGAGCTATGTATGGAGAAATAAAGTTCTTGTTTGAACACACAATGAATGGTAGACTTTTTGGTGGCCCCTTATCCCTCGTAGTAGGCTTTGAATCAAAATTCTTTTCTCCTGACAAGTGTCGGGGCATTGACTATACTTTTCATTCTCATTTTAGTAAGGCAGAGAAAAACACGTGGTGCCAAATTTTAAGTGCATTTTAAAGAAATCTTTCAAAATTATTAGTAAGTTTTCGTTCAATTTAGGCGCTCTTTTGGTAACAAATTGAAACAGCTGAGCAATTAGTATGGCTTCTATGGGAAAGAGGACGCTACTAGTACGTCGATTGATAAACCTGCAAGGCAGTAAGTGTGAACATTTATTTCGTTGTCGTTATTGGTTCGACTCTAACCAGTTGTGGTCCGCAGTGCTGTGGCGAGCAGAAGCTACGCGGTCGGGTTGTCTGCCAAATTTTCCATATCCGAGCCAGATTAATTTGTCGCGCCATCAGATGGTTAAGGCGCGTCCAGCGCCCGTTATCTACAATAATGCCATGAAGGAGTTGCCAGTGAAGCGCGCGAAGGCGAAGCTGATCAAAATGAAGGCGGCGCTGTCGCAGGGCGTGTCGACGTCCGTGGACAAGGAGGAGGAGGAGGATCTTGGACAGGACAAAGCCTCAGAGCAGTTGAAAAATAATGCCAGGAAGGAAGAAGATGGTGCGGAAAAGCAGAAATTACTGCAACAACAGCAGCAGCAACAGCAGCAGCAGCAGGAACAGCTCGAGCTGCAGAAACAGCAGCTCCGCCAGCAACAACTGCAGCAACTATTGCAGCAACAGCTGCAGGTGCAACAGGAGCAAGTGCAGATGCAGCTCCAGCAACAGCTCCTGAAGCAGCAACAATTTGAGCAGCTGCAACGCGAGCAACAGCAGCAGGAGGAGCTGCAAGTGCAGCAGCACCAGCAACAGCGGCAGCAACAGCTACAGTTGCAGCAGCAGCAGCATGTGCAACAGGAGCGCCAGCAGCGTCTGCAGCAAAATCTTCAACAGCAGCGACAGCAGCACGAACGGCAACAAAGGCTGCAGCAACAGCGTCAGGAGCAGCTACAACAGCAACGGCAACAGCAGTACGAGCACTTGAAACAGCAACAGCAGCAATTACAGCAGTTGCAGCAACAGCAACTGCAACACCAACTGCAATTGCAGCAACATCAGTTTGAGGAGCAACAGCAAAAGCTGCAGCTGCAACAGGAGCAGCAACCGCGTCATCAGCAGCCGTCTCGTAACCGGTACAAGAGCATCCTGGCCAGGAAGCAGCTGAAGTCCAAGGCCATGGCCATTGCAGTGGGTGCCGTCAAGGATAAGAAGGACGATCAGAACAAGCAACAGCAGCCTCTTCAGCAGCAGAAGCAGCAGCAACAGCAACAACAACAACAGCAACAGCAGCCCGAAGAAGCCGTTTACGCTGCCAGCGAGTTGCACCAAAAGGGGAAGCGTAAGTTCCAATTCGGTCAGCCCAAGTTCATTCCGTACAAGGCCCAGGGCTTGAAGGATATGAAGTCGCTGATCTTTTATTCTCGTGATCAGTATGAGAGCCCGGAGCAGTCCGCAAAACACAAGCCACACAAGCACTACCGCCCCTTCAATGTCATGGGCGGGGTTCCAAATCCGACCGACTTTGCCAGCTACCTCAATTATACGGACTATATCAGTGACTATGGCAACGGTGGCAACAGCAACAACTTCGGTGCCAATGCAAGTGGTGGTAGCAGCAAGGACAATACGGCTGTTGGCGAGAAGCTAAGTGCTATAGACGAGCTGCACAGGCAGCGCGCGGCCGAGCTGGACGCTCAGAGAGCGATGAGAATGAACAAGGAGTCGGCCATTCACAAGATCTGGAATAGTGCCAACAGCCTGGCTGGCAACTTCAACTTCAACAGCAACGGCGGCAATGCCGGCGGTGTCAGCAGCAACTTCGACAGTTGCAACATGAACATGAACATTGTCAGCAACAAGAAGTACCAGCAGCAGCAGCAGCAGCAGCAACAGCAGCAACAACAACAAACCATGAACACCGACAGCGATGACGATGACAATGACGACGACGATGACGACAACGAGGCCGATAACAGCAGCAATCGCGGCCACTGAGTCGATATTGGCTGTCTGTTGGTAACCCCAAATGAGGAAGAACTTCCCATTGTAGATAGATTCTTGATTTGTTAGCAATATGTGTAATAAAGGCTTTTGTATTTGGACACGTGAACTGAATTAAGTGTCCTTTTGTTTCGGCTCTCTTCACCTTCAAAGAAATCCCCTCATGGAATTCAACAACTATTCGGAAATTTATGAGGCAACAGTTCTAAGAGGCTTCTTGGCCCTTGTTCACTGACTAGAACTACACTTCAAATCAAATACAATATCTCTAAAACAACCCAGAAACTATTTTATTGAAACACACGTATCTTTAGAGATTATAAAAAGGTACATCTTTAATCTAGACAAATCAGTTCTTTGGAACTTCTTGCCCTCGGGTTTCTGAGGACAACTACTCTTCAAATCTAACTATGGGTTATATTTAAAATAACCCAGAAACCATTTTAATGAAACGTCTACAACATATTTCCATACCTGGTTTTCAGTTTTCATTTTACTTTTCATATTTATTTATTACTTTTATTAACATTTTCATGTGTATAAGCTACTTAAATTAATTAAGCTATAGCAACAAGGGATTTACGCTTATGGAGGCGTATTAGTTATAAATATTGATTCGATTTAAGCTTATGAAGGTCTAAGAGAGATAGAAACATTGATGAGTTATCAAATAAATTATATATTTTGGTGGCCTGCAGGAGTGCTATTATTTTTGGGAGGTTGGTAGCTGCTGTTGTTTGGTTTATTGGCGGGTTAAGGTATTTGGGTCTTTCTCTTTAAAATCGACGTTTAAAATAAGAAGAATATTTCAGTTTGGTGGCAATTAAGCTCACTAGCAAATTATGCAGAGTTCTCTTCATCGTAAGTAGTTCATGCTGGTTTATTGTAAGTTATAATCCTATTTATAAGAACCATACTTGTATATAAAATCTTATAGATAGATTTTTTTAAGAACTATACAATATCTATGTATAAGAACTATATACTTGGAACTATCCGCTGGTGTATTTCCTTTAGCAAGTCTCCTTTTGTGTTATTTATTCTGCTCACAATTGCTCCTCTGAAAAGTATTTCATTCAAAAGTATATCCCGAGAATGTTGTTTATGCTGGAGCGATTCCTATATTTGATAAGCCTTATCTTTATTTTAATGTTTTCTCACTCGTACATTAATTAAATGAAATGAAAATAAAAAAGTTTTTTTTAATGAAAGAAAATGAAAGATACGGGCTAAGTATAAGAAATTCACATAACATTAGTACTCTACCATGGTGATGGTGATTGGAAAATAAATGCATTGAAGAATTATTGCCATTTGTAATGTAAGTCGTCTGCGTTTTCCGTTGTTGGTGTTCTTGGAGCGCAGGACTTCACTTCACAGGCTCTTCCACCTCTCTCTTCCGCTTCCTAAGCATCAATAGTTCCTGCCTCCATCGCATACAGCTGATTTGAAAGGGTAATACGAGTATCTGAGTGTTCTTAGTTTGCATAAATGTTTTGGGAAGCTGCGAAGCAGAAAGATCAAATGCGGATAGGCTGTTATCATAATTCCTGTGGCTGCCGGCTTACTTGACAATACTCCTAAAGATATTCAACGCCCACTTCTCTATCAAATATCGGTCTGGATTGCTCCTTTGATTTATTTTCTCAAACGCAATCTGTTGCAGTCATTCTCTGTTCATTTCTTATTGTGATTTCCTTGTTGATAGCTACAATATTATTATCTCTATTTGAGACAAGTCTGCAAGCATATATGCGGATCGAACAATCTTATAAGGGACATTTTCAAAGGGAGCCAGGTAAGAAAAAAATAATAATAATAATAAACTAACAAACTGTACAGTTGGAAACGATGAAGTAAATAATTATAACAACAGGGACTTACAATTACAAGTTCAAAGCATTCTATACTTCGAAGTGGTTCTAGGACTGCAGACTCGCTAAAGTCTGAGTTGGACAATATCGCTTAAAAGAAGAACCAATACGGTTTAGTTGATAAAGAAAATCTATTTCAAAGTACTTGTTTATTTATTGGCCTCCCCTTCTTTTCAAGGCGATTCTTTTATTCATCCACAATCAGTTGTTGTTTGTTCAAAAAGTCAAAAATTCTTCACCATACACTATACAAGTATGCATGTATGTTTGTAGTTTTCGATCATATTCTAACCATTTACAAAATACTTGTAGTTTAAAAGGCTACCTTGCTTACAAAATCAATTAATTGACAAGACATTTTTATTCCAAGTACTCCATAATAGTCTTGAGTTTAACTCATAATTTAGAGATGTCTTCAGTCCGACATTTGTGTTTCTTTTTTTCGGAGATAAAACACGGCTCAGAACTTGCATTTCTACTAGGAATTCTATGTCATTATAAGGACATACTACTAAGTGCCTGCCGCCTGATCATTAAATATTTTTCATTATGCGTTAATTGTTTTCTCGCCGCACAGTAGCCAAAATATTTTCAGCAAACATTTCGCTTCAAAGGCTGCCACCGCCGCTTCCATGTAAACGCGACAGACAGACGGACAGTGAGACAGAGGGACAGAGCGAGAGAGACAATTGCTAATGGACGATGGGATGATTGGCAAGAATGTGTTCGGCAGTGTGGCAGTGTATGGGAGCCGTCGGTGTGGTCGGTCACACTTCACTAGAAATCTCATGCCTAATGCTAACGTGCTGAATTCTCTGCTGGCTTCTGGCTGCTGTGCATTTTTCGCTTATCATGGCCACAATTAGCAGCGAAGCAAAGCGGAAATGCCACTGCAAAATGACAAACAGGACAAGCGTCCTGGCTGAAGCGGCAGATTTGAGACAGATCGACGGATGCACTGTCCTCTATATAACGGGTAGAGAGGAGGAGACTGACTGACTGCCTGACTGCCTGCCTGTCTGCCTTTGTTGTTTAGCGAACGATGTGCATTGCAATTCAATTTCGTTGACATGCAACTGCAAAAATTTTATTTATGAGCAAACCCATGCGCAGCATCAACATCAGGAGCAACAACAGCAACAACAACAGCACCAACAGCATCATAATTAGCAACAGCAACAGCAACGGCAACAGAAATACTGACAGCGGGCCTCAACTCACACCCAAGGCCTGAAATTAAAGCGAATACTGCAATCCACCCTGTCATTAGACGCTGCTGTCGATTCAATTGTGCGCGAAGCTTGGCAAAAAAATAAAAGGGTCCAGGTCCTGGTCCTGGTCCAGGTCCTGGTCCTGGTCCTGGGTGCACGGCGGCTCAAGGCCATTGTTAGACAACGGGAAGAGGGAAGGAGGGAAAGAGGAGAATGGCGAGCGTGAATGAGACTTTCTGAATGAGACGCGCCGGCGAATATTGACAGGGGGGATATAAATGTTGTGATTTCTTAATTTTTGTTTGCATTTTTCTCGAATTTGGTAGGCTGTTGAGGTAATTACACTAATTATATAGCACATGTGTGTGTCCGGGTCCTTGGCTTCCCGCTCCATCGTGCCATCGTTCCCGCTCTCTTGCGCCTTCACAAGGGTTGTTCTCATTGCTTCTTTTCGCGTAATGAGGTCATATTTGCAATGTCAAACGGAAATACAAGAACACCTCGAGCCATTCCTTGTATTTGTGGGCGTGGGCCAAGCTCTTAAGCGGCTGGGTAGTGGGAAGTGGGAAGTTTACGTCTAAGTCTTCGTATTTTTCCAAAATTATCGAAGTAGATAACAACCGATCAAGAATACTTTACGATATTTTACATGAATCTCAATATCTCCAGAATGCATCTAATACAGACTAACCTATCGATCTATAGCCAAATCCCTTCTTTCATGCAGATCCCAAAACAGGAATAGGAGGTTGTCTGTTTCCCATTCAGGCAACTACTTATACAAGTATACAAGTATATGGGTGGGTAGTGGGGTGTATGTATGAGTCTTCTTTTTTTGCCAGAATCATCGAAGAATAGATAACAACCGTTCAAGAATACTTTACGATATTTTACATGAATCTCAATATCTCCAGAATGCATCTAATACAGACTAACCTATCGATCTATAGCCAAATCCCTTCTTTCATGCAGATCCCAAAACAGGAATAGGAGGTTGTCTGTTTCTCATTCTGGCAACTATATAGTAAGCAACTCTTTATTTCCAACACTTAGTCTTCTGGAATAGGGTTTCCAGTGCCAAGCAAATTTCTCGATTAGACCCAAAGTAAAATAAATCGATAAGAATTTAAGAGATAGTCATTGCTAAGTGAAAAGCATTCTTGTTCGAAAAAATTGACGTGGCAGTGTAAGTTCTTGGCACTTATCTGAAATTGGGCAAAAGATAAATGTATAGTACTTATCTATCTGAATAAAAGTGGGGATCTCGAAATCAAGGGTACTCAACATCTTCATTAGAAAATTGGTTATTTGTTGCTAGTGAGACAAAAATTAATGAAAAAGGCACAATTGCTCGTACGAAGAGGGGAAACATAATTTAAATATTAAGTAATATTCAAATTACTTAAACGGAAAGTTTTGGATTGAGTGTTCTGAATTTCCGAAGACATCATATATAATACAAGGTGTGTTCCAAAGTAAACAGGACTTTAAAAAAAAAACAGAACAAATGGTTTTTTCGGCAAAATCAATTTATTTTATTCAAAATAGTCCCCTTCTGCTTCAATACAGCTTTTTGCACGTTGGCCGGTATGGCCGCCAGTATGCCGGTGCAAGCCGTTTTTCCGAAAAGGTAGAAGTCGCACGGTGCCATATCAGGTGAATACGGCGAGTGGTTAATGGTTCAAATGTGATTTTTGGTCAAATAATCGGTCACAAGCGGCGATCGATTCTGACCAATTTTTGGTCGTCAGTCAATTTTTGCGGAACAAACCGTGCACACACCTTTCGTAAGCCCAAATGTTCGGTCAAAATGCGATAAATCGATGTTTTGGAGATGTTCAATTCCATTTCCATCAATTTCAATGATGATTTCGGCTGATTTTTGATGAATTCACGCACAGTTTCGATGGAATTTTCGGTGATCACGAATTTTGATTGTTGATCGTCATTTATGTCCTCACGACCACTTTGAAAACGTTGAAACCACTCGTGCACCCTGCTACGGGATAGGCAATCTAGCCAAT